GACAACAATAGTAAATTAACTAATGTACATTAAAAAAAAGTGACAAATAAGCCTCACTACTAAAAACAAAAGCATTTAAATCTTTCTAACAATCTATTGATTTAAATGGAATGAACGCGATTCCCTTTAAGTAAAATCTCGAATTCTAACCTTATAAATGAATAAATAGGTATCAGGAAAGTTTTCCCTGTATAGGATCCAAGTCAACTTAATTTGAAATTAATCAAAATCCAATGTAATTTTTGAATACTAAACGGTTAATATCAAAAATAAAAAGAAGCGTTTAAATCCTTGTACTTATGGCAGAGCCACCTGGAAACCAGTGCAAGCCATCATCACCACTGCTCTCTTGAATATATATATATATATATTTTTTTTTTTGAGAGAATATAAACTTTATATATATAACAATAGAGATTATATTAAGTAGACGTGCCATCCTTCAGTAGTAACAAAAGTAATAAGTTAGGGGGTCTATGCGCCCACTACCACGGGCATTAGCCTTTCAAAGTTGTTTTGGCCACCTAATCAACTACTTGATTGCCTTCCCTAGGAACATAACTAAAGAAAAAAGTAGGATGGCTATTACATAATTGTCTAATGCTAATAATCACAGATTTAATTTCCCATGGAATAGATTTACCAAGCTACTGCATGCATGAGATTAAGACCCGGTTGTCCAACTCAAAGATCATAGAGTGAATTCCCAAATTTGCGACAACCTAGACAACTTTAAGCATGGCAAGTGCTTCAGCCATAAGTGGGGATAAAGCCATACATAGCCAGTTGTTTCCAAGACAAAATTTGCCAAATGAGTTGCATCCAACCATAGCCAAGGCAGCAGCTCCCAAATTTGGTGAGAAAGAGGCGTCCACATTTACCTTGAGAATTCCGTGTGGTGGCCTAGTCTAAGAGGGATGATACTATTCATCAAAGTCCCAAGGTTTGGAAGGTGAAACAAGAAGATCCTTAGTTGTTGGAGAAGCATACTTCTTGATCATGAGGGAAATTTGAGCAAGAACCTAGTGGGGTGATATGTCAGCATGTTCAAAGTATTTTTCATTTCTAGCCTTCCAAACATGCTAACAAATAATGGCACAATGCTCCACCAGAAAAAGAAAGATGCAGTTGTTTGGCCATTTTATTAATGTTCCTCCACCATTCAGCAAAGGAAATAACCCTCAGCTGCTGAGGGTTAAGACCCAAGGTTGAACCAAACCAAATTGGTTCCACATGATGGCAAAATAATAACAAATGCATAAGAGTTTCCTCACCCATCTGACTATTAGGGCATAAAGCATCTTGTAAAATTCCCTTCTTCACCAAATTATCCAATGAAGGCAAGGAGTTATGGATGGCCTTCCATAGAAAAACACAAATTTTTGGTGGCACCTTTAGTTTCCATAAATGTTTCCATTCACCTGAAGAAAGAACCATATTGTCATTATTCATATCAGGTTCATGAACAGCATTAAGGGCAAGCAGATAAGCACTCTTGACAGAAAATCA